CACCTCTCACAACATTCCGCAGTCTGGCTACTGACTTCTCTGCCAGCATTACAAACATATATAATACTTTGTCTGTCCTTCAGGCTCAGATTTACTCTAGCTGCAGTCGTCCTCCAGAACCGATGTGGCCTCGACTTACCGCAGAGAAGGGAGGACTCTGCAGATGTCTAAGTAAGGAATGCTGTTTTTACTTAAACCAGTTCGGCCTAGTTTATAATAATATCAAAAGGCTCAAAGACAAGGTCCAAAAATTTGCTAATCAGGCAAGTAACTATGCTGACCCCACCTGGCCATTTTCTAACTGGATGTCATGGCTCTTTCCAATCCTCACTCCCCTAATACCCATCTTCCTTCTTCTTTTATTTGGATCTTGCATTTTCCAATTAGTCTCTCCATTCCTACACCATATCCATAGCTGGGCGCAGTGGCTCACGCCTGTAACCCCAGCACTTTGGGAGGCCGAGGCGGGTGGATCACGAGGTCAAGAGATCATCCTGGCCAACATAGTGAAACCCCATGTCTACCAAAAATACAAAAATTAGCTGGGTATGTTGGCAGGTGCCGTAGTCCCAGCTACTGCGAGGCTGAAGCAGGAGAATCACTTGAACCTGGGAGGCAGAGGTGGCCGTGAGCCAAGATCGCGCCATTGCGCTCCAGCCTGGCGACAGAGCGAAACTCCGTCTCAAAAAATAAATAAATAAATAAATAACTTATCCAGGCCATCACTAATCACTCTATAAGGCAAATGTGACTTTTAACAGCCTCACAATTTCACCCCCTGGCCCAGGATCTCTCAGCTGCTTAAAGCAAAACGCCTTGCCAACCCTCCCCGTTCATTTGCCTGTCATCTCCCCAGCCCTATTTCACAGCCGTCACCCTTCCAGGAACAACCAGATACACCAACCCATCACTCGTGAGCTCCAGGCAGTGTTCGACTACTGTCAAAATACAACGTAACCTGCACATATCCCTTTCCATCCAAGTCTTCTGGGATCACCCCCTACCCTGGACCAAGCCTTCATCACCACCCCCCATCTTAAAGCTATTATGCTTCCAATGACTTAACCAAACACTAAATTACAAAAATCACAAACTTTTCTTTTAGGTGTCCGCACAGCCCCGTCACATTTTTCCAAAAAATGGCATGGCAATTTGAAGCCACAAACTGAAAAATTGATTTATTCACAAAACAAAAAACCCTTGCCCTCACTTCTCCCTAGCAAACCTGCCCTAACCCTGGGATCCCTGAGCAACATGACAGTATGAAGTCCAGATGGACAGGGAAAGGCCAGGGGCCCCTTCTCCTTGTTTTGGTGTACACTGGCTTCTTGACCCTTCCCTGCACACACTCAGTAAACAGGAAGGGACCCACGCTATTAGTGTCCATCCTTTTCAGAGCATCTGAGACCTGTTTGAACCATCAAAGCCATCTCCAGCCCCCAGGAGCATACTGGAGGAGACACCAACCTCACCAAAACAATTCTCCATTGTGTTCCTCCCCTTGGAAATCATGGGTTTGTAAACAGCCCCTTACATTGAGACAGGTCCTGCCCTGGCTTTGTGCTGGTGTGTTGTTTTTTCTACCCTGAACAATGTGCTTTTCAGTAGGGCCAGCCGTTCACACCATTGTCTAAGACCCTTGGACTACAGGAAACAGCACCAGATTCTTATCAGCTGGGGGCAGGAGTGGTGGGGGGGGGTGGAGTGGCGGGGGGCGGTGAACACATGAGATCATGTCCATAGAGCAAGTGGCTGGTGTGGCACGTCATTCCCTATACCTTCATCTGTGAGAGCAGAGCCCACCTCACCTTCCATCAATCCAGGCTTCCTGTGTCCCTAGTCCAGTCCCCTCCATTTGGTGGTGGACACCTGGGCTCTGTTCCAGACCTTTGTTGAGTCATTTTGGAATCCTATCAGCCCACAACTGTCCCCTTGCCCTGGTCATCCCTCACAGCAGTGAAACAGGCCCTGTTGGGTGGATTGGGGGGTACTCTGGTCATCATCCTCTCTGGGGTAAAGAGGTCAAGACAGATCAGCTGAGTCCTCCCATTCAGCCGAGTCCCTGCATGCAGGCTATTGGCCAGCTTCGGGAGGCCGGGCCCAAGGACAGCCTCACATGGCCTCCCTGGAGACTTTGCAGCAGCCCTGTCCTCAGGGAAGAGTGATTTTTTAAAAGGCTTACATGAGGAACCAGGAGTTTCCTTAATGGAAATCCAGCAAGGAAAGTGAAAGGCTTCATTAGGATGCAGCCTCTAAGGGAGAGGGCCCAGTAGTGGTACCCGCAGTAAAGGTGGCCAGGGCCTGGGCAGTGGGAACAGGCACAGGGTCACAGCTGCCTCGCCTTGTCTCTTGTGTACCCAAGGGATGGCTGAGTACAGAAGGAGAGCCAAGGTGGGGCCCAACAATTTCCAGTCACCCTTATCAGTTTGTTTTTTTTTTTTTTTTTTTTTTTTCAGTCTTACTGTGTTGCCCAGGCTGGAGTACAGTGGTGCAATCTTGGCTCACTACAACCTCTGCCTCCCGGATTCAAGTGATTCTCGTGGCTCAGTCTCCCGAGTAGCTGGGATTACAGGTGTGTGCCACCAGCTAATTTTTGTATTTTTAGTAGATACCGGGTTTTACCATGTTGGCCAGGCTTGTCTCGAACTCCTGACCTAAGGTGATCCACCCACCTCAGCCTTCCAAAGTGCTGGGATTACAGGCATGAGCCACTGTGCCCTGCAACTTTAACAGATATTGTGTCTGAACCCACTGTCCTTCTCTCCAAGTTTAGAGTCTTAGAAGACCCTGGGGATTTGTTCTTGATGTGTATTGAACTTTCTTGTAGAACCCTCTGCAATCCAAGACTTAGGCGAGGCTAGGATGGGACCTTAACTGGGATAGGAATTGGGCTATTTCTGAGCAACTACTTCCTAGCTCTAAGATGAGAAGCACATGAGTCAATTTTCTGGGGCCCACCTGGCTGGAGCTGCAGCTGGACCCCCTGCCAGCCCACAAAAAGCCTGGCAGGAGGCACACCAGGTTCCTAGGGGCCGCTACCTGTCCACTCCTCCAAGCAGGGGATTCTAGGGCTGTCTAGGACCTCACCCTGAGCTTAGCCAATGAAAGAGAAGCCCAAGAGTCATTTGAGAAAGCGGAAACTGCTGTTTTCCTCTCTTATTCTGACTCCTCCCTGCCCCCCACCTTCTTAGAAATGAGTCTGTTGAACGGCAGGACAGCCACAGACCAGGGGTGAATGCTAGCCTTTCACTGAGGACCATGCCAGACACAGGAGGGGCCAGAAGTAGGCTGGGCATGGGAGGACGAGAGCTGGTGACAGAGCACAATCCAGGCTCAAGGGGCAGCAGATTGGCCACTTGGCAGCCCTGTCCCAGGGTGGCAGAGTCTAGTCCGGCGACGGTCATAGGAAAGCAAGATGTGGCTATTCTATAAGGAGGTGGAGGCTTCCAGAGCCTACAGGCTGAGAAGGCAATTACTAATTAATCAGTCTCACGTGTTAAGGGAGGGATTAACCTAATCAACATTTTCCTAAATGTGTTTTTTTTCCAAAGTGTTTTTTTCAAAATGTTAGAAACATGAGATCTTTGCTTCTCCATGGGAAAAAAGAGAACCAAATGTTTTGGAAAAGCACACAGTACATAGTAGGCATGCACATTAGCAAGAGATCATCACGGACTTCTCAGGGCCTTCACAGGGCAAGCCAGCAGGCAGCATCCCAGTTCTGTCAAGGCCAAAGGTGCAGAACGCAGGGACCACGAGATCGTGGAGGGTCCCACGCAATTACAGTTATATCTTGGAACCCCTGGGCCAGTCTCACTGTCTGATCCCCTTTCCAGCTCTAAACCTGTTTGGGAAGTCATGGAACAGAGGCCCAAAGAGCAGAGGAAGCACGAGATGTAGAGGAAAGAGCTGTGACGAAAGACAGAGAGAAGGTAAAATCACCGAGGCAGGAAATAGGGATCGAGATGGGAGGGGAGGTGGCGTGGACCAGGGAGAAGTCTGGTCCAGAGGCGTCTCCCAGGCCACCCTGGGGAGAGTGGTGCATGAGAGAAGAAGGGGGCTCTGGAGGCCACTGTCGCACACCCCTCCAAGCCCAGCACTCTGTGCCAGGTGGGTGCCCCGGTGACGCTTCTCAGTCAGAGGTGATGATGCCTCCTGGGGTGGGATGACAGGGTTTCAGGTTGTCAGGCCTAAGTGATCATGGAGGGGGCAAGGAACAAAAGGATAGGGCCAGCTCCAGGACCCCGGCTGCAAAATGAGACTTATGACTGACCTGTTAAGACCCCCACTCTACAGCCCAGATTGAGGGGTCAATCCAAGCAAGAGACCCAGGGAAATCTCCTGGGAAGGTGGGGTTATGTCCCTTCTATCTTCCTCCAGCACCAGTAGAGTCTGCTCTTTGGGCTGGGATCTTAATGTCACTGGGGAGTGGGAGCCATGTCCAGAGGGACCTCCTGCAGTGTGCCCAAAGGTCAGATGTTCCAGGGCTTCCTTTCCAGAAGCCACGGTCCCCCAAGCACGGCCCCAGTCTCCCAGCCATGAGGACTTAATATCCATTGGTATGTGGCTTGGGATGAAGGAGGAACCATGCCAAGTGTCACTGTGACAAATGTCAAGTGTTGTTGTGAAAAAGGAGCAGAGCTGCCTACGTGCCCAGCTGCCCTTTGCCAGTGCATTTTCTTTTTCCTTTTGGTTCAAGATCCTCCTGAAGTCCCAAGTTACAAGCCCACAGGCCAGGGTGTTTCTCATTTAATGAGCAATCTCAGCTTTGTAGACAAAGCCCTCCAGTGCCTTCTTTCCCCTGATACCCATCTTCCTCCTCTAGAAAGCACCACCCAGTCTCTTTCTCTAAGTCCCTTTCCAGCTCCATAACCTGTTTGGGAACTCGGAACTCAGGCAACAGAGGTCACTGGGGGTGACCTTCCTCCTCACAGAATGGATGGGAAGGCGCTTCATTTTCAGCTCACGTGTGCAGCATCAGTCCATTTAGTACAGAAATACACAGACACACAGTAATGATATAATTATGTGATGTAAATTTTAACTTCATCCCTTTCCTTATAAATTCAGTTTTTCTCAACCAGAGCTCAGGGGCAGGCATAATAATAAAAATAACAATAGTAATCACAAGAAATGTGCTCTGAGGACAGAGAAACCACAAGGCCCATCTCAACATACAAATACAAAAACAGAATTCGCACATACAGGCTTTTCCAGGAGTTAGTAGGGTACAGTACCATGGGTGGAGTGGGTTGGCAGAAGCTGTTCACTTTTTCCAAGTGCAAGTGTTAGCTGTTGAGGATCTTGTGCTCCTCTTCTCTTCATTTTCTGGGGTAACTTCTCAGAGGACCCTGCCTAGAGCCTGCCAAGCCGGGGTCCAGCCTAAAGGCCCCGGAGGACTGGCTGATTCTTTCTGGCCTCCCTAGGGTAGAAGGCAAAGCTGGCTGCAGCTCTGACACCCTTTCCAGGAGCTCCGCATTCTCTCCTCCCTCTTTAATCCCGTCTGTCTCCCCTGCCTTCTGTTCTTCAGCCTCTATCATTTCCTCCTCTCCTCCTCTGCCTTAACCAGCTGACCTCCCGGCAGACAGCACCGCAGGCAGGAAGGCTTCTCAGGATGTTAGGTTAATCTCGGTGCTTCTGGTTCACTTACTACCAGTCAAAGGAGAAAAGCGGGAGCTATGTCAGGTCTCAGTTCTCTGGAGGTGCCAGGGGTAGGGGGGAGGTAAAACCCAAGGCAGTTTGGGTTTGAGTTTCAGTGGGGCAGGAAGCCTGTCTTGCTTTTCATCTTTTATTTTTCCCCTCCTTTCTTTGTCTTGGTTGTTTTAATGGAGGGAATCTCAAACCCAGCGCTCTCAGCTCCTTCCAGTCAGTTTTGTGCGTCATGAATGTGTTCCCGTGCAGGCCGGGAACAACTTTTCACTGAGTCCTCCTCCTCCCCTCTGTGCTCCCAGCCTGAGAAACTGCTGATGGCAAAACACCTCCCCTGCACGCCCAGGCAGAACGCGTCCTTGCCATCCGAGTTCACCCCCAAGAATCGGCAATGCGTCTTCGCTTTTTTCCTCTACCTTGGTTCCCCCTTAAAAGAAAAGCAGTCTTCCTAAATCCATTTAGCACAAAACTGAGATTCCAGGTCTTCCTGGTTAGCTCAGAAGAGGCATAAACTGCTACAGCCTCCGGGTAGGGCTCAGGCCTTGCGTTGTAAACCAGGTGGGGGATCTCACAGCCTGACTTCCCTTCCCCCAGCCTGCCCCTGCTGGGATGCCAGTCCCTCCTGAGAGGACCCCCTCCCCACTATCAGGCTGTCCATGCCCATGAGTGGGCATGAATGTCCAGAGAAACGCTGGGTCTTCCTGGTGGCCTCTGAGCTAATTGATGCCACCTTGAGTCCTTGTGGACACTTGCTCCTGCCTGGGTCCCACAGCCCATCCTAAGGGTCTCCTGCCCTCTCCCATCTCCACAGCCGCTCTCCATGGTCTGCATGCCTGGCCCTGATTCTGAGGACTGCAGGGCTCACAGAGCCTCCACATTCCCAGACTCCAGGGCTAGGGTGCACTTGTGTCGCCCCGGGAAAGACAGCCCACTCCTCCCGCCCACACACTTCCCCAGCTCCCCCGCCCTCCCTCTAGTCCACAGACAGGAGGGGCAACAATGCCCCAGAACCCACCCCTCCCCGATCATGGGCATGGTTGGCCTGACGGTGGGGAGGGGGTCCTCACAGGAGGGGCAGGCGTCCGGGCAACCCTGGCCTGGGGAAGGGAAGTCAGGCTGTGAGATGCCCCACCTGGTTTACAAAGTGAGGCCTGAGCCCTGACCACCCCAGATCCCGGAGGCTCTAGCAGTCTATGCCTCTAGATTCTCTATGCCTCTCCATGATTCTCAGATGGAGAAGAGGTGGTGGGCAGTGGCAGGGAGCCACCAAGATATCACAGCACCACAGGAGGGGAGGTGCATTGCTGCTCTACCTCCCCAGAACCCCCATGTTCCCTCCCCAGGTCAGTCAGGTAGGCTCTTCTTAAGGGGTGCTAGTGGCTTAGAGGCCACTTCCATCCTCCTCTGGCTCCCCAAGGGCCCCCTACTGGGACACCCGCTAGACCCACCCACACACCCACTCTGAGGGTCACTCAGAATGGCCATTGTTCTGTAGGCTGGGAAAGAACCACCCAACCCTCTTGCCTCTGGGCACACCCGGAAATGTGCTTCGGAAGCCAGGCCATCTCTGAGAACAAATGGCAGATCCCTTGGGGTTGCCAGTGGCCAGAGGGTGCCAGCTCCTGCCAGGTCTGAGAGCACAGGGAGGGACAGGGACCCGGCCTCGGCCCCTCCATCAGGCCCTAGTCTTCTCTGTAGGTGACCCAGTAGCACTGTGGGGACAGAGACACCCATCTCTAAGAGGCAAACAGACGTCCTGACCCCCTCTGCCCTAGCTGGGTGGGTGGGAGATACTGGGGGCTGCTAGGGGCCCCCCCAGTCCATCCTGACCACCCGTCCTCTGCCCTCTTCTACGTGGCCTCCACCTCCCGGGGCGTCCGATTGTGCTCAGCCTGCACCCGGCTCTTCAACCTCTTGCCCAGCTCCAGCTTTGCCCAGCTCTTGCCCTTGGCCTGCTTGCCCTGGCTCCGGCTCCGGAAGGACCCCGAGCATTCCACAGTGCCCCTGCACCACACACGCCCACAGTACTCATCCACCTGGGGCAGGTTGGCGAAGCTGGTGAGCTGCAGGATGTCCTTGTACCAGGCCTTGGGTGGGGCAGAGGCCAGGCCTCCACGGGCTGGGGGCTCCTCTGGCCTTGGCTCCGGAGGGAATAGGCTGTCTAGCTGTGAGGCCACAATCACCACCAGAGCCAGGCGGACCACAGTCTGGGAGAAGCCATGCTCCAGACTGGTGCAGGTGTAGATGCCCGTATCGAAACGGCTGAGCCTGCGGAACAGCAGCCCCCGCTCCGTGTGCAAGACTCGCTCATCCGTCTTTACCTGCCAGGGGCGGGAGGGCATGAGTGGGGTGCAATGGGAGTGAACCATTAGCTTCTCTGCCCCAGCCTTTCTGCCATCCTTCGGACCCAGTGCTTGGGCACTTCTCCTTGCCCTGTTCGCTTCCCAGGAGGGAACCAGTAGCTTGGCAGTCCGGGCCTCCTCTAGACCACGAGGCGGGGCCTCGCTTTCCCATAGCCCAGGAAGGGGCCTTCTCAAGGATTTGACTGGCCAGATTCTCCCCTAGTCAGAGGGCACCAATCTTGGCCTCGGAGGCCCCTGGCACGCATTCCCAAGGAACAGAGGGGCTAAGATGTTTCAGCCCCTTAGCCCTTCTGGAGGTACCTTCTGATCTACAGACTTTTCTCAAGGGAGGGGCTGTGCCCCTGGGCCCAGGACTAGGCTTTAAAACTTCCCTATGCTGGACACGCATGCACAAACACACACATCACACCACACCACACCCACACCACATGCAACCACACACATACTGCACCCACCCACCACACACACACACCCACACACCACACCACACACCACACACACCCACCACATACACACCGCACACGCCACACACACACACACCACACCCACCACACACACACCACACACACCCACCACACACACACCACACACCACACACACACCACACACACCACACACATACATCACACACCCACACACACACACCACACACCACACACACCCACACACACACCACACACCACACACACACACACCACACACACCACACCCACCCACATACACACACACACCACACACACCACACACATACATCACACACACCACACACCACACACCACACACACCCCCACACACACCATACACACCACACACACCACACACACACACCCCCACACACACCACAAACACACACCACACACACCATCCCCACACACATCACACACCACACACACACACCACACACCACACACACACACACCACACACACCACACACATACATCACACACCACACACACCACACACACCCCCACACACACCACACACACCACAAACACACACACACACCACACACACCATCCCCACACACACATCACACACACCACACACACACACCACACACACCACACACATACATCACACACACATACCACACACACACCCACACACACACCACACCCACACACACCCCCACACACACACCACACACCACACACAGCACACACACACACCACACACACCACACACATACATCACACACACACACCACACACACACATACACCACACACACCACACACACACCCCCACACACACACCACAAACACACACACACACCACACACACCATCCCCACACACACATCACACACACACCACACACACCACACACATACATCACACACACATACCCCACACACACCTGCACACACACCACACACACCCACACACACCACACACCACACACACACCCACACACCACACACACCACACACACACACACATATATCACACACACCACACACACCAAACACACACCCCACACACACCGCCACACACACACTCACACAACACACCACACACACCCACACAAACTGCACACACCCACCACACACACACCCCACCACACACACACACCCCACACCCCACACACACCACACACACACAACACACACATCACACACCACACACCCACCCACACACACACACACCACACACACACCACACATATACCACACATACCCCCCCCCACATACACCCCCCCCCACACACACAGCCTTCCCGTCCAGGTCTGTGCTGTTCACTCCCCTGACGGTGTGAACAGGGTGGGCTGAGCACCCATCACAGCGTGGGAAGTGGGAGAGCCGCTCTGATCCCAGCCCGCCTCTGGCCTGGACTCGGCGCGGGCTTTAGTCTGCACATCTGTGTGCTGAGGCTGCACTGCTTGGGCCATCAGCTAGTGTTGTGAAACACCATCTTGTTTCTCCCCTCCTCCCCTGGGGAATCTTCTCCATGCCCAGCCCAGCAGCTGGCCTCCCCCAGTTCCCAGGCTGGAAGGAGAGCCCCTCCTGTAATCAACCCACTCCTGTCCCTCCCCTTCCCTGCCCGGCCAATGCCATCCTCAGGCCCCAGACTTAAACCATCCATGGGGTTGACAGGCCTTTTCAGATAGGGGAGGAGAGGGCCTGAGCAGATAGCTGGACTCCAGGGAGGAAGTCTGGGGCCAGGTTTTAAGAGTGGAGGGTGAGGGCCAGTGGTTAGGGACCCTGAAGGTTCTCTTGTGTTGTGTGTGTGTAGCAAGATTCTGAAGCCTAGTCCTGGGCCCGGGGGCACTGCCCTCTCCCTTGCCTGGGGCAGAAGAGAACCAAGAACCCCTAGAGAAGAGAATCCTTCCAACATGAGCCATGTGTGTAAACATGGAAGAATTACTGGCCAGCTCAGACCCCCTTTCCTCTCTTCCATGGCCCACCTCTCAGACTCGGGGAGTTGCAGCCACATCTGGCCTGGGCACCTCCTTCTAGCACTCCAGGAGCCTAATACACATTTTTCTTAGGTTGATCTTGGCTGGTTCCCCACAGAACCCTTCCTAGGGCTCAGGTCTTGGGGTTCAGGATGGGAGGTGTCCTCAGGACATATGGAGGCTGGAAGCAGGGGTCTCCTCACCCACCTGGTCAGGCCCCTCATCCCCCGGCCTCTGCAAGAGCCAGCGCACAGCAGCCTGGGGAAACTTGGGCAAGCACTCCAGGAAGGTGCTGTTGTGCTCCGTGCCGTAGACCGTGGTGGCTGCCACAAGTCCCACCGCCTCCTCTGGAGAGAGGCAGAGGTTGGCTCAGTTTAGGGAACTATGGGATCCAGATCCCCATGCCACCACCTGACCCCCACAGCTCAGGAGCCCCACTATATGACAAGAACTTAGACAATCCAGAGAGCCCCCAGCCAGTCACTGTGTCCAAAGACCCTGCTTCCTTCCACGCACTAGCAAGAGCTACATGGATAGGGAAACTGAGGACTGTCTGTCATGACAAGACCAGTTGGAGGACACACTTCACAGAAGTGGAACCCAGGCCACAGGGGTGAGTTCCAGCCCAGCCTGTGCCCTCCCCGTTGCTGCCACTCACCTTCCTGGCTCTGGTCCAGGCACTGCAGGGCAGGGTTACCGTGTCGGATGTCCTGGCGGCGGGACCGGCGCTTGCCAAGGTTAGGGTGGTAGTGGGTACAGGAGGCACCGTCCCAGGCACAATATGGGTCCCGGGCCAGGCAGCACTCCACACAGGCAGTGCCATAAGTCTCACACTGGTGCAGCCGCAGCTGGGCCACGCCCAGCCGAGAGACCACAGTAGAGCATTTGCTGGGGAGGGACAGAAGCAAGAGTTGGAGGTGAGGCCGAGGTGAACTGGGATGAGCCCAGGCTTCCCCCACACGCAGCCAGGCTCTCAGCCCCTCGGCTTCCTGAGACCCTCGCCGCTTGCAGGAAGTCTTCATTCACAAAATAAAAAATGTTTATTACCCACCTGCTGCATACCAGATTCTGCGCCAGGGCACAGAAAGGACGGAGGCAAATCAAGACCTGAGACGTTTTCCCTCAGGGGCTTCGCCAGCCCTCCCAGCTGCTGACTGTGGCCCTCTATCCAGGGGCCTTTCTTCTGACTTGCCTCTGATCTTAGAGGCACACCTTGCTTTGAGCAATTCCGATACAAAAGTTAGGATTTACACAAAGATGCACTGGGGCAGATACATGTGGGGAGACTTGATTTGCCACCTGACAAACATAGCACACCTCTAAAAAGTGGCCTTCTTGGATTTAACATCTGGATCTTGTTTTCTTGTCTTTTTTTTTTTGAAACAGAGTCTCACTCTGTTGCCCAGGCTGGAGCGCAGTGGCATGATCTCAGCTCACTGCAACCTCCACCTCCCGGGTTCAAGCCATTCTTCTGCCTCAGCCTCCAGAGTAGCTGGGACTACAGGCATGCACCATCACGCCCGGCCAATTTTCTGTGTTTTTAGTAGAGACAGGGTTTCACCATGTTAGCCAGGATGGTCTTCATCTCCTGACCTTATGGTCCGCCTGCCTCGGCCTCCCAAAGTGCTGGGATGACAGGTGTGAGCCACTGCGCCTGGCTGGATTTTGTTTTCAAGCACACTTTTGCCTCCCTTAGGAACTGGCCTTTGTGGCTATCCCCTTATCTGGATGCCGCCCCGCTTACGCGGTGCCTCCAATGCCCGCTGGCCACTGTTGCAGGAGCTCATCGGGCCTGCCTCAGCACAGCTTTCCCCAGACTACAGGAGGCTGAGGAGCAGGGCAGAAGAGGGGCGCAAGGGAGGGTGGCAGCTGCTCTTACCCTTTTGACAGAGATCTCCATTTCAGTGATGGGTGTTGGCACCTGGGGAAGGAGTAGGGTCTCGGCGTGGGTGGTGTGGACCAAGACCTTCCCCTGCAACCCCACTTTCAGTCTCCTCCAACCTTAGGGTGGGAACCACCTAGCTCCCAGCCTGGGTCATGCACTCCCTGGCAGCTAAAGCGAGACAGTCTTTCCCGGATGGTAGGTTTCAAGAAAGGCCCCCGGTCCTGGCTGGCCTCCAAACAGGAGACTTCGCTAAAAGCACAGAGCTAGAGTGTTCTTCCCTCAGCCTGTTCCCCAGCAATGAGGCAGCTGTCCTAAATTACCCAGCTCAGGTCCTGGGGGTACAGTAGGCCCCCAAACACAAACGACCCCCTGCCTGAGTCTCTAGAGGGGCCAATAGAATGTCTGGGGACCTTGCTGGTCTCAACCATCTCCTCCTTGCAACTCGAGCCCAACAGGGTTTTGCAAAGGGTTGCTCCCCTTGACCAGCCCTCCCAGCACCTGGGGCCCATCCAGCTCACAGGCTGCAGCTCTGGGCCTGGAGTCATTCAAAAGTGGCTACAAGGCCTCTGCCACAGCAGGGTTGGGGGGGCATCTCTTTCTGCACCCCTCTCCAGCATCCTGCCGGCTGCAAATTCAGTAACGACAGGCTTGCTCCTGTATCCCTGTAGCCAGGCTCAGACCCAGAGATGGGGCTTGGAGGGACCCTTCCGTCAGCCCCTTGCTCACCTTAAACACCTGGAGCTCCTCCAGAACCACCTCCTCAGGTTTAGCTGAGGCCCCTTCCTGGAGGGCAATGACTTTGAGCACGGAGCCTGAGTCTGGGGCCAGGGAGGAGGCATCAGCGGGACAGGAGGGGACAGCCAGGGACCCCACACCCCTCCAGCCTGGCCACCCCTGCTCAGCTGTCCTACCAGTCCCCAGGAAGATGACATCATAGCTTCCATCCTCTGCCTCCACGCGGTCCACCGCAATCTGATGCAGCTTCTGGGCCAGGTGGGTCTTGACAAGGACAGGGCGGCCAAGCCGAGGCCGCACAGGCCGGAACATGACGGGGTGGGCCCGGGTGAACCGCAGCACCTCATCCGGGTAGTCCCTGGTGCTGCCAAAAGACCGTCCTGGTCGCGAGGTCATCTTGCTGGGGCACTGTGGGCAGCAGGGAAAGGAGTGCCTGAGGCATCCTGAGAGGGCGCACACCCCCCACTGCCATTCTGTTTCCACCCCAACCAGGGAGCCCTCTCTCAATGCAGGAGGCCTCTCCTCTCCCCCCACACCCACCCCTGCCCACCCCACCCAGGCCCTCTGCAGCTCAGGCTCAGCCAACATCTGCTGCCGTGGGGCTGCCTGGGGACGTGGGGCTGCTCTAAGCGGCCCTTCCCCACATCTGCTCAGGCCTCGCTTCCCTGGCCTGGCCCCAGCAGATACTCACCACGCCGGGGCGGGGAAAGGGCACCTTGCCCTCATAGGGCCTCCACTGGTATTGAGGTCCATCTTGGTGGGCAAAGGGCCCGTTGAAGACCTCCCAGATGTCTGCCATGTGGTACACACAGATGGCGAAGCCCTGGAACACGGCACTGCCAGGCACACAGGACAGTCAGGCCAGAGTGGCCATCAAGGACAAGAAGGGGACAGCCTGGTTCCACGGGCAGGACAGAGGGTGACAGTGCCTGCAGCAAGCAGAGACTCTGAAAAGCAGAGGCACCAAGGCAAAGGCAAAGGCCAGAGAGAGTCAGAGAACACAGTCCCAGGTCACTGAGTCAGGGACAGACAGGGCCTATGGCAAGGCCGGGGTGGCGGGTGCAGGGACGCTGGGTATGCCCACCTGATGGTGCTGAACAGCGCATACACCTCGAGGCTCTTCCCAGGCTTGGGCCACAGCAGGAACACGTCCTCTGGGGTACAGAAGGGAGCATGAGTGTCATGGCCACTGATGATGCCTCAACTCACCAGCTCTCAGCCCTCCTCACTCCCGAGCCCCCAGCCTGCTTGGCCATGCCCTCACCCAGCTGGTCAAAGTGGGTCTCGGCACTGCCAGGGCCAGGCACCGAGCAGACCAGCCTGGCCTTCAGGAAAGTGCTCCATCTGTTCACCAGCACCCGCTGGCCCCCGACGTCATTCTGTGGGATAGGGGGCCAGAGTCAGCCTTAGGCCCTACAAGGATGGGTCCCACCATCCACTCTGCCACCCTCACCCACTAGAGCAGAGGCATGCATGTCAGCTGTGTATCCTTGCCTCAGTTTCCCTACTGCTGGCCAAGGGTGCGGGGGAGAAAGGTCTGGGAATGGGAGGGTGCAGAGGGGACTTGAACCTCACCACCCCTTCCCAGCCCTCACCACGCAGACGCGGCCCACGCGGCTCACAGTGACGTGGCTTGAGTCACCATCGAGCGAGGGGACAGTCTCCGTGAAGAAGAAGTACACCTTGTCATTGTCGTGGTCAGAGTTCTCAGGGATCCGGGCAGCCATCACAAACCGGGGATCTGGAAGGGGGACAGGGTCACGCTGGTGGAGGGGCTGCACAGGGCAGGATGGGAGCAGAAGCCAGTGGGGAGGGGGATGGCGGGGGCCCCCACTGGAGGCTGGTGTCCTAGTGGGAAAGTAGCCTCCTCTCCCCTGCCAGTTCCAGCGGCAGGTCTCACCGTGCAAGAGGCTCTGGTCAGGGTTGGAACTCAGGGCCGGCCGAGGACCGCCACTTCGGAAGATCGTGGGCTCTTGCCCCAGGAAGTCAACGGTGAGACCCGTGTACTGCTCCCTGCCTGCGGTGGAGGTCAGGGAACAGAGTCGGGGACGAGGCCCAGGCCCAGCAGCCGGGTCCCCCCCGTTCCCAGTGACATAGGCCAGCTCCCACCATCCCTGTCCCCGCCCTGGCCTGGGCATCACCCACCTACGAAGGTGCTGGCGAAGGGATGGTTGGGGTCGTAAGGGCATCGGCCCCGGCCACTTTCCACACTGCCCGGCTCTAGGTGGAGCACATGCTATGGGGAGGGAGGGAGGGGCGTCACCTGGGAGAGAAGCACCAGCAGCCCACACACAAGCAGCAGCCCTCATGTGCATGTGGCGGGAGGGCGGGGGCAGGAGAAGGCGTCCTCATCCAGGGCCCCTCTAATGGGGTCAGCTCCCCAACACAAAGGCGCCTTTCAGGCCCCTGCCCCTCTGTCCCTGCCCAGGCTCAATGGGAACGTTCAGGCAGCCGGGAGGAAATGTCACTGCCTCCCAGTCCCCTGTGGGGCCCGGCCCAGGCTCACCTCCCCACGGTAACCCACTGAGATGAGGGTGCAGACGGGCTGGAAGGCTCCGGTGCCACAGGCCAGCAGGTGGGTCCGGTTGTGAGGCTGCAGCACCCGCACGAAGTTGGCACACTCTGTCTGCGGGGAGAAGGAGGGGTGGCTGAGGGGTGAGAGGGGGTGCTCACCATCTCCTTGGGCCCCAAGGCTCAGCCTTGTCTGGCAATTGGCTCTGGCAAAAGGGGTGGGTGTGACATTCTCAGCAGACCTTCAAAGGCCCTCAGGAACTGCTCCAAATGCCCCCGGTAGAGGCACCAGGGGGTGTGGCCACAGACTGTCCTGGATGTCAGGTCAGGGCATCAGGTTGGGGGACCATCCCTCACTACAGCACTCACCAGGGGATCTTTTCCACTGCGAGCACACTCCTCCCTCTGTCCTGGCTGCGGTGGCCACAGGACCTGGAACACAGCCTGGCTCATCTCAGGTCTTCCCTGACCTCACAGCCTGTTTCCCCAGCTGGCCTCCCACCTGGAGGTGCCCAGCTCTCAAATAGACCCTCTTCCCTGCCAGTTCAGCTCACCTCCTGGGGGTCTGGCCATGCCTGGTTCAGCCGCAGAGAGTAGACGGCGTCCAGGCCCCCCAGAAAGAGGCGTTCCCGGTACTCATCTAGGTACATGGCCTGGAGGTTCAGGGAGCCCCGGGGGCCCAGAAAGACGGCAGAACGGTTGGCAGAAAGGAGGTCTAGGAGGGAGTACCGGGAGGCGGATCAGGGCCACAGCTCAGCCGAGCTCCTCAGCCAAGGAGGGGAGGTGGAGGCCCCGCCGAGCATCCCCTGTCGCCCCCCACCACACACACTCACATCTCACATCTGGAAAACGTTTCCATCCACAGGTGCTAGAAGGCTCCTGGAGGCAGGTGGGACAGGAGGCTCGGAGCCTCCCACCTGGCCCAGCCTACCCTAGGGTAGGTACCCTGCCTCCTGCCCTCCATTCCTTAGCCCTTCATTGTGCAGATAACATCTTCCCACTGTCCCATCTGTGCCCTGCCCAGTCCCCAGGGACCCAGGGAAGATGGTGCCAACCAGCAGAAACTAGAGCAAAGTGCTGGAAGAGCCTGGAGGAAGGGCGGGAGTCTGCAGGCCTGACTCAGCTGGAGGGTGGGCCAGCAGGGGAAACTGTTCCCAGCATAGGGGACCCCTGGCAACAGCCTGGGTGCAGGGGAGGGCAGGTGTGGCAGGAAGGGCTCCCACCTCCAGTCTAGGGATGTGGCCGAAGAGGAATTTCTCCCCATAGATGCTGGCCATCTCGGCCCGGAGGTGAGAGCAGGAGCTGCCTGGGGACCTTGGTCCCAGGAGTTGAGGATCTTGAGGTAGGGTCCTCCAGGCTTGGTTGGGGAGCTGGAGGTAATGGGGGCAGTAGGATGTGGTAGGAAGGGGGCGCTGGCCACCCTCAGGAAGCCCCAGAGTGTCCTATGCCCCTCCGACAGAAGCACCTCCGCCCAACACCCATTCCAACCCCAAAACTCATCAACAGCCTCTTCCAGGAAGACCTCCTTGGTTGACAGTACCTCGGGAACTTTCCCTATTTGGAGCTTCTAGCAGTCTGACCTCTCACCAAAACCACAGCTCCCAGGACAAGACCACATTCCCCTCAGCCTCTCCAGGCATCTCCCCTCTCAGATGGGGCTTCCCAGGGGAAGGTGATCCCCGCTCTGGTTTCCCCAGGAAGGATCTGCCAAGAACCTGTCTCAGGGCCTGGCCTTCCCCAGGGCCCGTCCTCGGAGGCCTGAGCCAGCTCACACATCTAGGGGAGAACACGGGAACCCCTAGCCTGAGATGGGCAAAGAGGGGAGGTGAAAGTGCCCCTGGGATCTGAGGCACTTCTTGGGTGCAGGAAGGAAAGCCCACTCTGGCAAGTGAGCCGCAAGGGGGGTCCTCCCCTTCTCTGTGGCCCCGGGACCAAGGGACAGCGTGCTGCCCACTCATTCTCCTATTGGCCGCCCTGGGCAAAAAGTGCCAGCTGAGCCCAGACAGATCCTGCAGCCCCACCCTGTCTGTCCCTCTCCCCTGCCCTGTCCCTCCCTCTGTCCCCTCCCCATCTTTACTGAGCTCTCTCAGGGTATCCATCTGCCCCTTTCTCAGCAGTCCCCCTCAGGTCCCTCCCACCACCCTGGACCTGCCTCCCTCCCACTCCCTGAAAGCTGCACAGGGAGAGGCTGCCTCCCCTACAGCTGGCCAGGTGCCCAAGAGCCCAGGGCACTCAAACAGGGCACATGCACACAAACAGGGCGCACAGAAGCTAGTACCTTCGTAGGAGAGCCGCAGGCGGGGCACGCTGAGGCCCAGGCTGGGGCTGGAGCTACCCCCATGGGGCAGGAGACCCCCCAGCAGCCAGCAGAAGGCCCAGGCCGAGGGGGCCATGCTGAAGAACCGAGGGCACTGCTGCCGCCTGCCTGCCGAGCCACCCTCTGGTCCCACTGGCTGCCGTCGTTGGCTCAGCTGCCACCAGGCCACCACTTATAAGGCAGTGGCTCCACCCAGTCCTGGGCGGGAAGAGGGGCGGGGGACAGAAGGAGGTGGGGGGGTGAGTTTGAGGCCTGGTTTATTGCCCAAAGATAATGGACAAAAGCGGGAGGGAGGGTGTCTGGTCCCTGCCCTCTATGTGCTGGGGCCCAGGGCATGACCTCTCTTGCCCACCACCCCCCTCCCCATCCTCTCCCCTCCCCCAGCGGCCCTGAGGGCAGACCCCCGCCCCCCCAACACACACTCATTCTGGAGCCCTGATCTTATCCTAGCAAGGAGCAGTGAGTGTGTGGCTGAGGTGGGTGAATTCAGAGGCAGAAGAAAAGAGGAAGCTCAGCCAGGTGAGGCCGCTTCTCCTTCTGCCTCGCTGGCCCGGCGCATGCCTTTGTGTCATCCTGGCCAGTTCCCCATCAGGAAGGCCTTCCCAGCTGGGGCGTGGACAGTGTGCACAGAGAGATGTCCACACATTCAGGTCCTCTGGCTCCAGCAAAGTGACAAGGTGGGAGAGAGCCTGGAAGCGAGGTCAGGGATCAGAGGTCAAGGTTGATGGGCTGAGTAGGGGCCTAGCTGGGCTCTGCCTTGTTCTCTGACCCTCCAGTGCCCACAGCAGAGACCCCTCCAAACTGGCCCTGCCCCAATTCCAGGATGTTCTATTCCCCGGAAACCTGAGCCAGACTCCCCAGCTCCCCTGGCTAGGGGTGGGGGGTCATTCCCAGCCCAAGCGGCTCCATGTCCTAGGCAGGTGTTTGAGGACCCCATGCCGAGGGAACTTCCCAGGATGGAGTGCTCCTGCTTCTGTTTCCCTGGGGAGGTGTGTCCAGCGCACTGCCCAAGCTAACTGGAGACTGAGCTGGGAGCCCTTCAGCTAGCGTGTAGCCACCAGCGACAGGCAGGCGGCCAAACATTCCTCAGCCTGCCAGCCCACCCTGGGGTCTCAGCTCAGCCAGACGCCCAGCAGGGGCTGCAGGGAGGCCTGGGTCTATTGGGGCAGGGTGTGGGGGCAGCCTGCTCCACGCTGCGGAAAGAGCCTGTGGCAGGCTGGGAGTCCGAACTCTCCTGTTAACATATGTGGCCTCAGTCAGATCCTTTCCCTCTCTGGGACTCAGTTTTCCAGGCTGAGGGGCAGGGGATAAGGATCATCTCTGAAGCAACCCCCACCTCCACCTGCCAGCTGCAGGTGGGAGACACCAGGTGTGCTGTGAATTAGTGGAACAATAGGCCCTGACACGGACTTTGTGTGCCATCTAGTGGACAAAGAGGAAACTGCAGGAGACCCCAGAACTGCTCGTTGTGTCAGGCCCTGTGTTGGGGTAGCAGGGCCACCCAGCAGAAACCACAGCCTCTTGAGGATGCTAGCAGTAACCAGGCAACCACAATATAAAGAAGTAGAAGCAATAGAAGATGCTCCAGTGATTGCTTTTGATGGAGGAAATCAAGGGAGGCTTCATGGAGGAAGCACTATCCAAGCAAAGGATGACCCAGCCCAGAAACAGAGAGGACGCAGTGAAACAGGCAGAACTAGGTGATGCATGCAGGGTGCAAAATGCCATGTACTGGTGGGAGATGGTGAGCTGGGCTGACACCTATGTGAAGTACGTGTTCATGCAGCAGGTGCCACCAGGTGGGTATGTGGAGGGTCACAGCCCAGCCTCTCCCAGCCTGAATTCTGGAGTGGGTATGCCTGGAAGGAATGGATGTCCCCAGTCCTTTCCCCACCAATTTCATGGATGGAACAGGGATATTGGGACAATACCATACCCCCTCCACCCCTACGCACCTCCAGCTGCTTGCAGAGGGTGAACCCTCATCCCCGCCACCTCCCATCGGCCATCCTTCACAGCTCCTACCTCCCGACCCCAGCCCTCCCACAGTGTCCTCTGGGATTTCCATCTGTAAGCAGGGCCATTCATCTCCACCTGTCCCGGGACCTGTCCCCCTCCCCTACAGCTAATGAAGAGAGAGCCAGGACACGGCAGAGCCCTCCTTCTCCCACTGCCCCTTCCTGACCGTCCTTACTCCCTTCAACCCGAGCACACGTGGCCCTTGTCTGAGGCAGCAGCCTGCCCCCAAGATGCACCCTCTCTGTAGCTGGCCCAGCCACTCTCCTGTTTCCTTCACAGAGGGCTTCACTCTCTTCCCCTCCCCAGTCCCATCAACAGCCCACATCCCCTGGGTTCCTCCCAGTCCCCTGGGTCACTGTCCTCCTCATTGTCAGTCATTGTCCACCTCAGCTACCCACCCTCCAGGTCACCACCAATATGGGTGTGACCCTTTGCCTGTCTACATGGAAAATCCCTTCCTCTGAACATTACCATCAGCAGCTCCGCACTGCCACTGCCACATCTTTCACTCACTGAGGACTGTCTGCCTGCCCCTCTTTGCCTTGAGCCCCCTCTTTGTCCTGGCCCAGCTTGTGCCTGCGACTGGCTCTAGAGCCAGGCCCTTGCAGACACTGCCCAGGGGCCCAGGAGCCACCGGCCTGCTGCAGAGCTGCCCTGCCCCTCACGCGGCCCTGTTCCTGTTTCACTGGGCTGATTCCACCAGCATACAAGGCTCTCCCTTATCCCCTTTTTTTTTTTTTTAATAGCGATGGGGTTTCACCGTGTTGGTCAGGCCAGTATCGAACTCCTGACCTCAGGTGATCTGCCTGCCTCAGTTCCCAAAGTACTGGGATTACAGGCTTGAGCCACCACACCCAGCAGATTTTTTTTTTTTCCTTGCCCCTTCTTAAACAAGCTTCCCTGGACCCCACGTTGCCTGAGCTCGGGCCCCTTTCTCTGTTCCCTGGGGTGTTGCCCACACCCGCCTTTACCCCTGTATCTCAGCTCACTCCTGTCTGGCTCCCATCCCTCTGTTCCACGGAAACCCTCTTGCTCAGGCGGCCAATGCCTCGGGGCCTGCAAGTTCCCAAATCCTGGGGACATCAGCTGTCACCCATGCCTCTTCCTTCCCTCTTGGCTCCCAGGGCACTCTCCCGGCCTGCCCACGCAGGATGCCACCTATCCACAAACTTTCAACCCAGGGCCCTTGTTTGTGACCACGGCCAGGAAACGGCTTCCTACTCTGATGGCATCTACGTTCACAGGGCTCACTCTGCCCCTTCCCTTAGCTCCTGTCTTGCTTTGACCTTACCATCAGCCTGTCTCTGGGGCATCTCAACTTTGACACAGACCAAAAAAAAAAAAAAAACCAAAAAACCCTCCAGGCCAGGCACAACAGCTCATGCTTGTAATCTCAGCACTTTGGGAGGCCCAAGCCTGATGACTGCTTGAGCCCAGGCATCTGAGACCAGTCTGGGTAACACAGGAAGACCTCATCTCTACTAAAAATATAAACATTTGCCAAGCACGGTGGCACCCATTTGTCGTCCCAGCTACTTGGAAGGCTGTGGTGTGAGGATTGCTTGAGCCCAAGAGATCAAAGCTGCTGTGAGCCACGATCCTGTGACTGCACTCCAGCGTGGGCAACATCGCAAGACGTGTCTCAAACAAACCAACAAACACTCCATCTTTCTCGTGATCAACCACCAAAAAGGAATCTAGTCTGGACAAAGCCAACGTAAGTGAGAGTCTGCAAGATAACGGGCCTGAGCTCTTCAGATGTGATGAGGAAACACAGGCCCGTCACAGGTTGGTGGGGAGTAAGGAGACAGGAGGACTAGTGAGGCTAGTGCCGTCTGAGGTTGGCTCGTCTCCAGGACAAGAACGTAGGACAACTGACAGAACTTCCATAAACTCTGCAGATTCATGAACGGCTTCATGTTAACATTCATTTTCCCTATTTGATCCTTCTTTGCTTAAAACGTTAACATTTAGGGAAGCTGGGGACCTGTAAATGGGAATTCTTTGTACTATTTTTGCAAGTCTGGAATTTCAAAATGAAAAGAAAAAAACAAAAAACCCTACTAAGGCCTAGTGTTGGGAAGTGGCCTTCACCTCCCCATACCCCGAGGCTGAACCTGTGCCTCCTCCAGGCTTCCGTACCTCAGGAAATGGCAGCTGAGCCAAAAAGCTAAGGGTCATTTTGGATTCTCTACCTTCTCACCCCTCACATTCAGGCCTTCAGCAAATGCAGTCCATTCTAGTTCCAAAATGTGCCTTGAATCCGTGCACCCCTAGCCCTCTCTCCCCAGCACCCCACTGTACTGGGAGCCACCAGGCTTTCTTGCCCAGAGCCTGCCCCCACTTCAGGCCAGCTCCTGGCTCCCTCTCTCCCACCCCTTCTGTCCTCTGCAGCCCTCACCCCTCATATAAACTGGGTCCTCAAGAGGCCTGGCACTGCTCATGTCTCCCAAGACTGGTGGGGCTTGGCTTCCAGCCCAACACTGCCTTTCTGCTCCTGAGATCTTCCCAGTCTCTCCCCATGGCTGGTTCCCTGTGGTTCCCCCGGATCTCAACAGTGTCAGCTCCTCTAGGGAGCTTTCCCAGACCACTCTCACTCATGGGCCCACCGTGCCTCCAGTCTCCACTCTAGCCCGTGCTGGTTTTCCCACTGTACTCATCTCCTTAAAACTCCACCAGATTGGCTGGGCACAGTGGCTCACGCCTGTAATCCCAGCACTTTGGGAGGCCAAGGCAGGCGAACCACTTGAGCTCAGGAGTTTAAGATCAGCCTGGGAAACATGGTGAAACCTTGTCTCTGCTAAAAATAAAAAATTAGCCGGCTATGATGCCAGGGGCCTGTAATCCCAGCTACTCAGGTGACCGAGACATAAGAATCACCTGAGCCTGGGAGACGGAGGTTGCAGTGAGCCAAGATCATGCCACTGCACTTCAGTCTGGGTGACAGAGTAAGAGTCTGTCTCAGAAAAAGAAAAAAAAATTTCATCAGATTAGGGACTGGGCCTCACTGTGACGCCCCAGCATCCAGCCCTGCGCTGGGCACATGGTAGGTATATGAATGAACCACTGAGTGGCACACTGGCTGGTGGTGCTGCTCAATGTGGCCTTTCCTTCTCTC